ATTCGAGCATTGTATTAATCGTTGCGCTTTTAGTCATGCAACAGTATTGAATGGGAAGCAACGAACACAATCTCAAGAGTTTTCTGTGCAAAATCGAACTACCAAATGCACTTCAGTATGTAAAATAGATTTCCAACATAAATGTTAATGCTGGAAAGCTTAAATCGTGGGTGGCCCACGCTTTTTCACCATGCAGGACCTTAATCATCACTGCTAAACGACCAGACATACTGCGTAATTTTCACCATCGCCTCGCTGTACGACTTGGGTCTCGCATGTTCACGAGGTTCCGCAATGCTTGAGGTGGTATCGTGTTTTTTTTTTCTGGTATTTGGTTTGTTTTGAGTTGCGCCAACACCTTCGCAGTCATTAACCCGATGCCTGACAGACAGTTGACCGGCCTGTCATCAGTGGCCTTTGGAATGATATCTTGTCGTTCGTACGTGCCTACCACGGCTTTCGGAGCGACAAACAACAGTGCCACTAGATTTGGATTGCTCTTTACTGCTTCCAAAAGACCAAGCTTCTCAAAAACCGACATGATTTCGGACACGTTGACGGGATAAACCTTCGAGATACTCATTTGGAACAGGATCAACCGATTCTCAGCATTCCACGTGATGACATCTTGTGCTGTCGCTTGTGTGCTATTAGACTCCATCCTTGGGAAATAGAATTCGTCAATTGACTCGAATTTCCGAAACTTCATCCGATGATACGACCCACGAGTTACAGCCACTGGAGGCAAATCCTTTATCTCGAACAAATCAACTTGGGAACTGTGGGCAACTGGGGTCGTCTCAAACGTTTGCATTTGCGTCGTGGTCTCACTACGCTGTAACAAATGCACTTGGAACGTGCATCCTTGCTCTAGCATTTCATGTACATCACAGTAAAGATCCATTCAGAGAGTGCTGCAACTCTTGGGCTGTCGCTCAGTAAAGTGTGTAGCTTCTCATTGTCATTTTGGACTGCTTTCAATAGATTCTCTTCAAGTTCCTCCACGACGAAGGGAGACGCGATTTTTGTAAATGTCCGCTTTTTACCTTCACAAGGCACTTGGTGGAGAATACCATTGCAGGTATTGTCGTTTAGTCCACCACAGGCAAGCATAAAACCGAGTTCTTTCGCGTCGGAGATTCGGAGTATTTCTTTTGTGAAGTAATCGACTGCCAAGACGAGATCTTCCGACGGTAGAAAGCGCTCTCGGGCGACACCGCCGAATATGTTGAACCGCGTCTCCATGGCATCATCTGCGATGCAATCGACTCCGCTCGAGTCTGTGAGACTAACCGCGAATGCAGCTTCTTGGAGCTCCTCACACGGCCAGAGAGGCATGCACAGAGTACAGAAATCCTTTCTCAGGGTTCTCAGCCATTCAGTGTTCGGACTTGTGACCACCACCAGTTGTCTGAGATGGTCCATGGCATAGGATAAGCAGTTTTTTTTTTTCTTTTTGGCTTGAGCCTGCTCCGAGGCCATGTCAATATGTAGGTCCAAGCTGCTTGAATAGAGATATACTCCCGCTACGTCATCCTTTAACATCATGGCCCCCGCAACCCCCCTAGCTCGGCAGCGTATCGCAATGATTCACGTGCCCCCCTCATCCTCTCGGAAGCGTTGGAAAAAGTAGCCGTAGAAGACGGACTTGCCAATTCCTATCAAGGAATAAAATTCACGTTAAATCAGCAATATTGATGGTGTTATCTACAAAAGCGACCACGAGACTTACCTGGTGTCCCGCTAATGGTTATGCACTTCCTCCCATCGAAAAGCATTGTCTTCATGGTGTGATAGTATTCCGCGTAGCATTCGCGCACGTAATCTGTCCCACCGGTCTGATAGTCGTTCTTGAACGGTAGGGACGGCATTTCCTCCATGAGTATCATTGGGCTGTTTCTCCTAGATTGATACCTATGAATGCTTCGGCTGGTTTGTCAGTAGTTGTCTTCTGCTTCTTCGTGCTCCGTACATGTTGCTGATTTGGGACTCTCTTTTGCTTCTTTGACGTCGAGCTCATCGTTCTAAAAACAAGAGTGAAAGTTGAAGTGTTTTTTTTTTTTTTTTGCAGTCCCTGTTGGAAACGATTGGTGTGTTCTCGGTAAGGACTTTACGGTCATAAATTTCAATCAATAGTTGCAGTATGTATTATTATACAGCTATGTACTTTCGTGCTAACTTGAAATTTTGTGCTTTCAAATTATTTTACCGTGTGTGGTCTACATACTCCTTTTGCTACACTAAGTGCGATTTGATTGCGAATCACTTGCACTCAGTATGCTCTCGAATATTCGCGATTTGCTCTGGAACGTCCCAGACTGTCTCAGTCAGAGTGATGGTCACCCAAGTTGACCACTTCAACGCTCCTCATTATTCAATCTGCCAACTGACCAGCAAGTCAAACAGTAATAGTCGCAAACGTACAGCAATCAACAGCTCCCCACCCGACACTTGAGACAACAAATGGAGGCCCAGACATCCCACGAGAAGAACCGTCTGCAGACCATCGAGCAGAAGGTCAAAGACGTGGAGCACAAGCTCAACACGCGACTTCCAGCCCAGTACCGTCACGTTGCCGCTATGGTGTGCGGTACCAAGTGGCGTCTTCTGACATTCAAGCCACAAGACGCCGCCTCCGTCGTCAAGAAGATGCGTCTGGAGCTCGGAGCCTTCGACTACCGCGTTAAGGAGCAGGCGGAGCTGCTCACACGCTACCTGATCGACTTGGACGGTGTATTGAGCTACGGAGACGCCGACATCAAGAACGCTCGCAAGGCATTGGTAGTGTTCATCCAGCAGCTGCTGCCTCAGGCCGACGCCTTCAAGGAGCGCAGTGCCAAACTCAAACAGTTCGGAGAGC